ACACACACACACACACACACACACACACACACACAAAGGATAGTTCAGCAATAAAAAAAACAAAAAATATTTAACTTACTTCATGTATGTTGTGATGATTCCAGCCATTCATTTTGGCTTCATTACAATGACAAAGCTCTACAGTGATTATGTATTTTTGTAGGCCAACCCAGAAGTTAACATCACCCTGGTTTCTTCAGCAAATCGGAGTTTTCCATTGGCTTTTGGATTATTGCAGAAAATATGCTCTGTGACCAACAAAAGTTTATGATTCTTACACGTTTCGAAAGAAACAGGATTATTATATTCAATTAAAACCATACGAATATTTTTTGTTTCTTGAAATAAAAAAAAGTTAACCGAAATAAAACATACAAATGTACTTATTGTATTTCAGCTAGTTTCCAAAGCAACATTTCTCATTTTCATTTAGCTTAACTTGATGTACTAAAATAACTCAAACTAATAAGAATGACAAAAACACACAAAATGACTAAAACTTTAACTAAAATGAACACAAATGCAGAAACTACAAAAATGAAATCTAATTCAACAAAATATATAATTCTCTACTCTATATTCTAATTACAATCACCAGAAGTAAAAAGCTAAATGTAATCTAGGTTATAAACAAACCATGCTATACTAATTATAAAGACGATGAGGCTATAGAAGGGGACTAGTGAGTAGATGAGTTCACCTGTTGGTGTGATGATGTTTACTGTCGCCGACAACCTCTAGTTTCATTTAGCCACTTGTTAGTGATCGCCCTTTTTCAGGGCAAGTAAAAGCTTTAAAAAATTGTGAGTGGGGTTACTGATGTATTTTATGCTGTAAAATAAAACATGAAAATATCTTGAGCTGGTGTTACCACAGACCAAGCATTTAACCAAAAACCCATTGAGTTCAGGAAGAATCATTTCTGGGTTTTGGTCTACAAAAATATGTCATGCCTGCATCACTCTATTAAAGCTGGTTATTTCATTTAGGAAGCAACATGTATCATATCAAATAAAATGAGCATGTTGCCTCACTGTACCAGTTACAGGCTCGAGTGCCTCTGTTGACCCTGCCAGAGAACAATACTGTAATCCCAGCCACTTCCGTTCCTCTTAGAGCACAGATGCAAATGCCATCAAGAGGATTAGCTCCCTGCTGCTTAAGGATAATGAGACATTCTGCTGTTCTCAGTGGCTTCTCTCTGTGGCCTGGCAGACAGCCAGCCGCTCTGACGTTTACACCAGCACTGCAGTATCTGCCTGCTGCTCAGATTGACTAAATTTAGGCCACTGCAGTGTTGGTAGTGTGTTTATGGATTCTCTAACTGGTATTCCTTGAGATTTAACAGGATCGAAAAAAAAACCCCCAGTCACTAAAGTTTGTGGCAATGATTTTGTGGCATCAATGATTGACCACAAAAACCTGCAGGACTAAATAAAGACCATACCTTAACACTAACACGACCGTTCAAAGCTTTAGAGTCAGTAAGATTTTCTTTCATTGATACAATTGATACTTTATATAGAATTTATATAAATTTTGAACACAGAAAAGTTATGGACAGCTTTAAGTAAGCAGAATTGTCAGATTTCTATTTTGTACTCAGACATTTTAATTGCTTTAAACTTGAAATATTGGAGTAAGCTAATTCATACATTTAACTTAAAATTGTCATGTAATCTCTCATGTAATTAGTAGCATCGTAGCTAGCTTTAACTATAGCTAATACTGTAAAAGTAACCTTACTCATTTATGCACATGCTAGTATTAACATAGCATTGCAATTGTTGAACGAGTATTGCAATATACAATATTTAACATACCTGTTCTCAAACCAAGCCACATGCTCCACCTGTCACCATGATGATATCCCCCCCAAAAACACACATAACAGAAATGCTTCTAAATTAGCAAAGCAAAACATTAAACACTACTAGATCTCCCACTTAACATTAATCTTGCACAAAAAAACATTATATAACACATAATTTTAGCATTTACTCTCCCTTTCGAGTGCCATGGCAAAGCATGCTGAGAAATAGAAATCCCAGCCCAGTTTCTGTTAAAATTGAGTTTGACTAGATCAAAAGAAATGAGTTCATAAAACTCAGATTTCTTCAAACGTGTCCGTTTTGTGAACTCAAAAGAAAAAGAAAGTTCTAAATACTTATAGAAGTTCATTTGACTGAACTAATTTGTTAAATTTAAGTTCGCTCTACTCAAACCAATTATTTTGAATTATTTCGTTATTTTAAATTGTAATAATATTTCACAATATTACTGTTTTTACCATATCAAATAAATGCAGCCTTGATGAGCATAAGAGACTTCTTTCAAAAACATATTTAAAAAATTTGACTGACGGTAGTGTAAACAGTTTATTTTGCAGCTTTGAAATGATGGAAAAAAGGAAACAGATCGCTCAGTGACTGCTCTGATGGACTTACGGTGGTGCTAATTTAGTTCTAATCCACTTGGCATGGAAACATGTTCTCATACCTGGGCTATACGTGGGCTGTAGCCCAAACACAGCTGTTATTTCTAGCCTAAATATCTAAACGTACATTTCTAGTCTGTATTCGATCAGAGATTTCGTTTTTGTTATTTATTGTCCTTCTTGGTTCACTGCATTTGTCATTTTGCTATGGCCATCATTTCATTCTGAAAACAGATTAGGATTGTGGTAAATGATTGGCTTGAGTTGGCATATGTGTGTAACCTTAGGTAATTGTGTATCATTCTGTGGCAGAAAGTCATGTCATGTGATTAGATAGTAAAATTAGATATTAGACTTATATGTATGCTAAGTGTGGGTCACTAACATCTGATCAGACTTAGTGACATTAGATTGGATTCAGGAAGTAGTTATTTCGTGTTTGTATTTCTTATTTCTGCCATCATTGCCCTAAGCAAAACTGAATGGGTTAAATGAGTTCAATTGGAATCTGTTAGCTTTTGTGGCAGAAATGGAAGAAATGGTGATCTTGGTGAAATTTCCTCACTCTTTCTAGTCTTTTTGAGCTCTCAGTGGTAGAATCCCCAGTGTTTTGTAGGCCAGATTTGAACACATCATGCCACTGCATGTGGTGACATGACCTGCAGTCCACTGACCACCAATGAAACATTTACACGGGTGTTGTTTCATATTTGATAGACCCCTTCAGAGTTTGGCTAGAAAGCAGTTGTGGCCCATATTCTTTTACATGTCTGAAAAAGGAAGATGTGGCTTTGAATTTGAAACCATGTTTTATATGAATTTATGCGCATTGTCACTGCCAGTGGTGTCCAGGTATGACTTTGAAGGTGGACAGGCTGACAGCTTGGATGGAAAATGGATTGCTTAGTTTGAACTATTGGTCAGTCATCAGCTTATGTTCAGTTATTCTTTTTAAGTAAAACAACTTGACTTGTAAAATCACCTTTTAAATGTCTGTTTACTCATAAAATAGGTCGTTTTGTATTATCTTCATTTAGGGGGCAAATGTTGATCATATCATGTTATCAATTCAAAGAAAAGTTGAAAGGATTTACAGCTCTATTTAAAATAAAATAAACACATTTACTATGTCCAAAACATAACATTTCAAACCCTCAAGGTTTAAATGCTAGGTTTTCATTTTACGCACAATCTACATACAATATTTTCTCTCTTTTTATTGTTTATGAAAATCAGAAAAAACATTGTTAACATCTTACATCTTATCTTACATTCAGAAAAATGGCACCAAAACCATGTTTTACTAAACTTGTTAATTCAAAAATAGACAAGAAAGATAAGCTGTAGTTTTGGCGCACACTCCTCCTGAATATGCAGTTATATTTTAGCATTATTTATTTACTGTTATAGAATTGATTAATGTTGTAACTTTTTATTTTTCAAAATGTTTGTTTTTTTATTATAGAAAACTTTATATAGAGAGACAGCATTTTAATTTTAATTTTAGCTTATATGTTATTTTTTTCTTTTTTTTTTACAGAATATTTCTATATATATAAATTTTATTTTTAATTTCAGTTTTATTATTTTTAGTGCTTTAACTTTTTGATTTAGTTAAAAATAACAATATAGATATTGACAACACTGATACTTGTATACTAATGTTTTAAATTTTTATAGTTCAAAGTTTTATTTGATATTATATTAAACTTAATATATATATAATATCTATATATTTTCCCGTTTTAATTTACATTTTATTTTATCATGTGTCTTTCTCATATTTATTTATTTATTTTTTACAAAATTTCTATATGGCTTTAATTTATTTATATTTCAGTTTTAGTCATTTTTGTACTTTAGTAACTTTAGTACTTAAACTTTTATTATTTACATTATGCAATTTCACATTAATTAATTTATGCTTTAAAGAATTTCTAAATTCTGTATCTATTCAAATTTTTAAGTTTAAGTTTTTCCATCTAATATTTAGATTGTATTTTATTGCAGCTTCTTTGTTTTTGTTTTAGTTAACAACAGCAACACTGATGGGGTCCTGCAATTGTGGGAGTGTCTCTGTTGTGCTGCAGCAGTATTATGACATTACATGGTTTCTGTGCCTGTCCACTCTTCCTCAAGACTCTGAGTCCTTGATTTCCAAATGAAATGCAAAATTTTCTTTCATCTGAAAAGAGGACTTTGGACCACTGAGCAACAGTCTAGTTCTTTTTCTCCACAGCCCAGGTAAGACGCCTCTGACGTTGTCTCTGGTTCAGGAGTGGCTTGACACGAGGAATGCGACATTTGTAGCCCATGTCTAGGATTCGTCTCAGTCCACTCCTTGTGAAGCTCCCCCAAATTCTTGAATGGATTTTGCCTGACAATCCTCTCAAGGCTGCGGTTATCCCTTTTGCTGGTGAACCTTTTCCTACCACACTTTTTCCTTCCACTCAACTTTCTATGAATATGCTTGGATACAGCACTCTGTGAACAACCAGCTTCTTTAGCAATGAACTTTTGTGGCTCACCCTCCTTGTGGAGGGTGTCAATGACTGTCTTCTGGACATCTGTTAAATCAGCAGTCTTCCCCATGATTGTGTAGCCTACTGACCCAGACTGAGAGACCATTTAAAGGCTCAGGAAACCTTTGCAGGTGTTTTGAGGTAATTAGCTGATTAGGGTGTGACACCATGACTTTCCAATATTGAACTTTTTCACAATATTCTAATTTTCTGAGACACTGAATTTTGGGTTTTCATTATCTGTAAGCCATAATCATCAATTTCAAGAAATAAAGGCTTGAAATATTTCACTCTGTGTAATGAATATGTATAATATATGGGTTTCACTTTCTGAAATGAGTGACAAAAGATATTGACCTTTTTCATGATATTCTAATTTTGAGATGTACTGTATATATGAAAAAAAAATATATATATATATATTTATACATTTTTGTTTCTAGTCTGTGTTTTAATAAAAAATAAATGAATAAAATTCACGGTTTCCTGCTTGGTCCATTGAATTAGAATATAATTAATTGTCCGCCTTTCCACAAGAGCTAAATCACTTTAATCTGTCCAGTCAGAGAAGCTCATTCCAGTTTCACGTAGTACAAACTACTGTCTTACTGTCCTTAGTGTCTTTAATTCTCTCAGTGACGTAAATCACAGCAGAACTGAACTCTTTTCAGGCCAGGTGAGCAGATTTAGCAGCAGCTCTGTCCCTGGCCAGGACATTTGGAGGAATGAATGAAAGGACACATGCTGACACTAATCGTAATGCACTTTTTACTACTACCCTGGTTTTGCTTCAGGTTTCAGATTTGATGTTGGACATCAATAATACAATTGTTTATTGTATTAGAAAGTAAACAAAAATGTCAGTTTCTGTTTCTAAATGTCTTGAATTTCAGTGGTTTCATGTTCTCGGCAGCCAAAACAAATTGCCTCCATTGTCCTCATTCCAGTCGAACTGTATTTAATTAAGTTTGGTTTGTAGTTTTGTTTATTTCATATTTCCTTTTTGTAATGTTCTTGATGGTTTTCAAAACACTCCAGAGTTTCACTGGATGCACAGTCAACAACAAAAGATTTTCAAAATGTTAATAGGCCTATTTGATTTGCTATCTAAACTGTGACAATGATATGGTCAGCTGCATTTAATTATTTGTGCGGAGCTTAATTGTCCCTGCTGTCTGCAACACTGTCAGCTGCAGTTTAGCATTACGAGCAACTGTTTTGTGAGGAACCTCGGAGAAGAATTTTGAACAGGTCTTTATTATTTGACTTGCTATTGGCGTTTTTGCAGTGCATTTGAGTGTCTCTAGTGTAGAAGGTTAAAGCTTTATTAATGTGGTCTTTGCTGAGCTAAGCCGTCATTTGCAGAGCTGGGAGACACTGCCAAGCTCTTATTTTTAGCAAAGTCAAACGCCTCAGGGAAAGGCAAGAACCAACCAAGTGAAAATACCTGACCTGAAAACAGCAGAAAAATATAATGCACTTATGTAGAGGGTAGTGCTTTGCATAGGTTTTGCATAATGAAAAATAAAATAATAGAAAGCAGTGTCCATATTTGACAGCAGCACCCTAAACCTCCATTGTGTTCCTTAACACTCAATATCATTTAGTAAATGTATAAATCTTGGACACTTTTTTTTCTTCTTTCCTTTTAATAGAACTGATAAAAAAAATCATGAGATTTTAATATTAAATATTTTCATTTTATTTTAATATTTAAGTTCTCTTTATGTATTTATTAATAGTTTATAATATTATATTTGCATATTTCTTAAAATAAAATGCAAATAAAAATGCACTCTCTGGAACCTGCCTTAAAAAAGCTGTTCATATATTGCAAATATTTTTGATGACTATTCTTGTTTGATTTTTATAATAAAAATATCTCTCTAAAGATTTGTTAAACAAGACACGGTTACTAAAAAATAATTGTAATAATAATAGGATAATAATAAGATATTATGGGTGTAAAATATTGCAATATTGCAATATTTCTGTTACTATTTCTATATTTAATGTTTCTGTTTAATTAAGTTGTAAATAATTTCAACTAAAAGTACATTTAAAATAAATTATATCTTTATATTTATTTAGTTTTATATATTTTTATTTATATTTTAGTTTTTCACAAAAGAAAAATGAGCCCTCTGCAACCTGCTGGAAAAGCATCTCTGGCTGTGAATCACTGGCCTAGAAGACGTTTGTAAATGCAGGCCTGATCATTTTGAGCAGGGATGAAAATGAGAGAATTAAGCCTTAATGAGGATCAGGCTAAGAGGCTCTTGTTCTTGACTGCATAGATGTCTCGTCGTGGTTGGGTCACATTGACTCTACAGTGCTGTATAATGCACTTCTGCACAGATCACACTTTTGCAAGATGTGTTTTATCAGAGGTGTTTTTTGACATATACAGTGACATTATTCTGACATCTACTATCATTTCTATTAGATTTTATTTCATGAGCCCATAAGCCAACTTTCAACAGCCTCTGTCTCACGTTCCTCCTCTCAATGTCTTTTTTTCCTCTGCAGTGCTGTGTTCAGAGAGAGTTGGTCAAATCACAAAGACGTATCATGACATTGAAGCAGTTACACATCTGCTTGAGGAGGTGAGAGTCTCAAACATAGCATAAATGATACCACTGTCCTTCCATCGATGCCTCAGTCAGGACATCATAAAAGTCCCGCACATGCTTGTCTTCCTCCGCAGAAAGAGCGGGATCTGGAATTGGCAGCCCGGATTGGCCAGTCGCTTCTCAAGCAGAATAAAGCCCTGAATGAACGCAACAAACTACTGGACGAACAGCTGGAAATCACCACGGAAGAGGTGATTACTTTTACTTTTAAAATACTTTCGCTTGTTTACATCTATCTATCTGTCTGTCTGTCTGTCTGTCTGTCTGTCTGTCTGTCTGTCCGTCTGTCTGTCCTTCTGTCTGTCCTTCTGTCCTTCTGTCTGTCCTTCTGTCCTTCTGTCTGTCCTTCGGTGTTTTTATCCTTTTTGGAGCTTAACATACATAGTCACTGTTGCTATATGGCAGGGGTCTTCAACTAAAATTGTTCAAGGTCCAGTAATGAACCCACCAGCCAAAGTCCAGACAATTATATACCTAAAAACATGAATTGATGGGTTTTGCCAGACCAGGGTTTTTGCAGGATATTTAAGCTCAGATTTAATACTTTAAGACCCTTTTTAAGACCTGCACAAATAAAATGAAAATGACTGTAAAAAGCATGAGTTACAGTTCAGATACAGGTTTTCACAAAAACAAAAAGTTTTATAAAATGATAAACATCACATTTCAGCCTTTAAACCATTTTTAAGAAAATGGAGTCAAAAGTATGAATTATTATGTTAATTTAAACAGTTATCAATCAATTGATATATTCATTAATTAACGTAAATATATTTGACTGTCGTCTTAATTGTTTAGATTTTTATAATACATTATCTTCTTGTCGATCCACCATTACGGTTCACATTTTCATTTGACTGAAATCATAAGACTTTCTTTTACCATTTAAGACTTTATATGGCCTTAAATATGGTACCACTAAATTTAAGACTGTTTAAGGGCCCGTCAACTTTCATAATTTTTGAGAATGCCATTGTTTTTCACTCACTAAAAGACGTTCTGAGAGTGAACTATTCCTTTAAACATTTTGTATTACTATTATGTTGTTCAATGCAGCATTTGAGTTAAAATAGTTAATATGCTTTATACTTATAAGTAGAGTTTAAAAACAGTGTCCTTCTTAATGATATAATATATGTTGATGCACTCAAGTGTTTTGTGTTATATGAATGCAAACGCTGACTCTGGGTCTGTTCTTACAGATTGCCCAGCTGCGTCATGAGCTCTCCATGAGAGACGATCTCCTGCACTTTTATGCCAGCACTGAAGAGGTAGAGCATGCCTCAGAAACACTGTGAGTTTACGTCTCTCTCACACACACACAGTGATCAACAAATTAATTCTGCCATACTGATAAATATCTCGTCCTCCTTCAGGCTTATACAGAATGATTCGTCCTCATCTCTCAGCAATTACATCAATTACGACTTCCTGCAACATAAACTCAAGGGTTTAGAAGAGGAAAACTTTAAATTGCGCACCGAGGTGTGCTTAAATGCATTCGCAAAACATATCAAAAAGTTGTGCTACAGCTAGGTACATGTTTTCACACCCATCACTGTTTTTTTTAGGCTAATGAGTTGACGTTTGAGACCAACAGTTACGAGGAACAAGAGCAACGGCTTATGATGGTGTGTGTGGATGAACTCTGTGAGTAAATCTCCCATGATGCCCAGCTCTTCTTTTAGTATCTCAAATAAGTTTTCGTGATGACAGACTAAAGTGTCGTCTTCTGCTTTCTCTCAACAGCAACAGTGAATAAGCAGGTCGTGTCTCTGTCAGAGGAATTGGCCCGGAAGGTGGAAGATTCGTTAAGACAACAAGAAGAGATTAGTGCCCTCTTGGGACAGATTGTGGACCTGGAGCAGCGCTGCAAAGGGGTCAGACACACACACACTCTCTCGCTCTGTTTTTCTTTTACACCATTTAGAGAATACATTTTTATAAACAAATCCATCGAATTTCCTTCCAAATTCAGCTCACCGCTGAGAACGAGGAGTTAACGCAACATTTGAATGCTTCCCGGGAATGCCAGTCGCAGATTAAAACAGAGGTACATTCCTCACAATATCAATATCACAATAATGCCTCCTAGTATTCTACTCCTGATTTATTGTTTTCGATAAATGGCTTTTGTGCCTCGAGTACCAGTTGAAGATGTTGTCTTCCTCTGGTGGCAGGTGAAGGAACTGCAGGAGAGGTACTCCGAATGTGAAGACATGCTCCATGAAGCCAGAGAGGACATTAAAAACCTGCGCAATAAGAGCCTGCCCAACTGCACCGTGCAGCGTTATAGCACCCTGGCAGCGGTCGTCCCAATGGATTCACTTGCTGCTGAGATTGAAGGAACCTTCCGGAAAGGCCTAGACAGCCCAGCGCCCACTGAATACAAGTTAGTCACCCGAGTACATATAGCAGCTATTCATATACTACAAAATTTTTTTTTTATTGTTTTACAATAAAATATCTAAAATACCTGTAAAACTAAAAATATTTGTACAAATATAAAAAAATATATATTTTTTAAAAATATAAATAAATATATGTATTAAATGTGATTGTCAGGGGAATATACAGTACTGCTCAAAAGTTTGGGATCAGTGAGATTTTTCTTTAAAGAAATGAAACATTCCGCAAGGACACATTAAATTGATCAAAAATAACGGCAGCAAATATATTTAAAACGCTTCAAAAGTTTTCTGTTTCAAGTAAATGCTGTTCTTTTGAATTTTCTATTTGTCAAAGAATCCTGAAAATGATGGATTAGGATTTCTACAAAAATATTAAGCAGCACAACTGTTCTCAACATTGATAATAAATAAGAAATATTTCATGAGCACCAAATCAGCATATTAGAATGATTTCTGAAGGAATTCAGCTTTGCCAACACCAGAATAAAAAGTACATTTTCAAATATATTGAAATAGAAGTGGACCTCAGAGAACAGTACAAAATAATAAAAAGGGCAGTTTCATGACCCCTTTAACGATTAGATATTTTACTGTAAACATAATAAAAAGACTGATTTCTTTTTTGCAGTTCATTCAAATCCTAGTTAACATGTTTTGTATATAATGCATAGAAATGTTAATGTACTGTAAATGTACTATATGACCATGGACTGTAACATGGTGTGATTCTCTTGAATGTTTTCAGGAATCATCCGCTGCGGGTGTTTGAGACCGTGAAGGTGGCCAATCAAGTAGCTCGACTACGTTCCCAGATTCACTCTCCGCAGGTTCCGGGTTCGAGCCCTGCATCGTTACGCTCTAGTCGGATCAGTACACCACGGACCAGTTATTATGAATCAGACAATATTAGTGTCAACACGGAGGATAAGCACTCCCCTCCGACGCACACGCAGGATCATGGGTCAGTGTCTATTTATTTTCAAATTTTCTCAAAAATTACTTTGACTATTATATTAAGAATGAATCAAATTAATAATGACATATTTCCTGCATAGGTTACTGGAGTCGAAGCGTTTGGGCCAGCCAGGTACGCCAGGTGGGCAGGATTTAGAGGAAGCGCTCCGGTCTCTTTCAGAGCGCCAGAAGAGCCACACATCAGAGCGGCCGTTCTTCGAGGTGGAGAGAGAAAGGAAACTGCGCGCCTTGCAGAGTGGAAGCAGCGGCAGTGGCGGTGGCTCCAGCGGCTTCCTGACGCCTAATGGCAGCATTGCATCCACAGGAACGAACTACTCCGGCACCTCCACACATTCCTCAGGCACAGGCTCCTCCCGCTCGTACCTGCCTGAACGGCTGCAGATAGTCAAGCCTCTGGAGGGTCAGTCGATAAAATACAAGTCATGAAAGAGGGACATTTAGATCAACTCTTAAATTATGGCTGTCCAAACCACAAAATACAAATGTAAAAATAAAATAATGAACAAATTATTCAATAAAGATAAAAGAACAAATATAGAAATTACACAATTTTACAACCTAAATTGCCATGTCATATAAAGATCAAATTATGGGATATTTTAAAAGATTGATTTACTTTGACAAAGTCACACAGGGATCCTCTCTATGATATAATTTCCTGGTTTATGGTTTTTCCTATCATGTTACCGCATATTTTCCTGTCATGTTTCTGAATTTTTGGTGGATGAAAATGTATCAGATATTATCCCCGTAAAGACAGATTTATGAAATAAGGGTCAGAATCTATTAAAAATTGAAGTTATTTCCTGGTATAATTTCCTGGTATAATTTCCTATCATGTTACCGCATATTTTCCTGTCATGTTTCTGAATTTTTGGTGGATGAAAATGTATCAGATATTATCCCTGTAAAGACAGATTTATGAAATAAGGGTCAGAATCTATTAAAAATTGAAGTTTATTGAACATTTAGACAAAAAAAAAAATTCTGATAGCTTGTAATGTAAATAAATGTGATCTTTATAAAATTATAGCAGACTGCTTACACAAAATGAATATAAATATCAGCTGTCACTCTATATCTCTTAATAATAATATGTCTTACTAAGATGATATTTACATGCTTAATTTTCTGTAGTTTTTATTGTGGGGGCAAAACATAATTCAATGTAATACAATTATGAGATGAGAGATGTACATATAAATGTTCATCAAAAGCCTAATGTATCATATTTGATACTTATATTTTAACATGATTATTCTAAAAAAATGATTTATGGATAATGAAGTAAACCCAAGTTGCATCATTTAAGTAAATTTTACCTTAAAATATTAATACAAAATGATTATTCTAAACTACGTAATAAGGCTTTCTTTGAAAAATGTCATTCTTATAAAGAGCATTTTGACATCAGGACAGTCGTACCACCCTGAGACTTATGGCCCCCTGAAAATATCAAAATGAATATTAATAGATCAGAAACAATTTTCTGACCAGTATACTTCATCTTGCCTCTGTCCACAGGCTCAGTGACTCTGCACCAATGGCAGCAGCTGGCCAAGCCCAATCTCGGGGGCATCCTGCACTCACGGCCGGGTGTCCTCACCAAAGACTTCAGAGAGCTGGATGTAGATTTTCAACATGTCTACAGCCTCAACGACCTCGAGGAAGATGAGCCTGATCTGTCCAAATTCCCCAACTTCCTGAACGGCACTGTGGGTAAGACCCTGTTCACCTACAGCAACACATTTTCTTCTTAATTCTTTGGTTCGTTTGATTCTTGATGTACTATTTTTATAATCTTTCCCATGCTTCCTAGCTATTATCGTGGTTTTATTCCACTGTGACTTCAGTGTAGTGCTGTAGGTAACTGTCATGCATAGCTGAGGCTTAGCGTGTGTTTGTGTTTCCTCACATAAACGCAGTCCCTTCATCTGGACCTAACATCCCTCAGACCTCAAACACACCCCCGACCACTAGCTGTCAGATCCTCCACCCCTCTTCCCTCCTCTCCTCCTTCTCCACCAGGTAAGACATGATCACGCTGATGCCCACGGTGCTTATTGTAAGACTGTCAATCATCCATCAAAATTCTATTGATTTTTCTTTTTAATTGGGCATACGTATAACAAAAGACAGTGGGCTTCTAATGGGAATTCTAATTCTTCACTACATTGCGCAGTTCAGTCGTTGTTTTGTGTAATGTTAAAGCATTACGTTGACAGCCCTAATTCATACATATCAAAACGATTTAAATGAGGCACTTGGGGAATATCAGAAATGTCTGTGTCTGTTCACAACCAAACATCATTTTAATATTTCATTTTTTCTTGCTTATTTTCCCTCCTTCCATCTGTAACAGGAAGCGCTGGAACCGGCTCTTTGTACAGTTATAAAACCGTCCTCCATAAAGTAAGGCGTGTCAGGCATGGCCTCTTTGAACCCTTTACTAGGATCATCTGTGAAATTGCGAAATCCATCCACTAACTTTCTCTCTCTCTAACCTTTCATTCATGAACAAACATAATATGGTAGCATTGCAGCATCAGGACATTTTGTTACTAATTCTGTCTTCTCTCCTACAGATACAGGTTTAGGAATGAGTGCTGTTATGTCTCATTGCACATCTCTTTTAACATAATGCTTTTCTGCTAAGGTCATGTTTTACTGGGGGAAATTAATGTAGTAAGATCATTCTCAGAAAATGCTGAAGTTATGAATTCAGTTAAATTCTCCCATAAAAGTTGGTGTTTATTTTATATGATTGAAACATGAATCGTAACACCAGTGACAAATTGTCATTAAAAACAAATTTATACAAATTTGAATTGATTTTACCCTTAAATATATATTTTTTAATCTTTTACAACAGTGACACATGTAAATGAACCAAGTGGGGGAAAAAATAAAATGTAAAGGTATATTAATAACTTTTTCAGCATCATGGGAAAATCACCTTTGCACATTTAAACAGCCTCTGAACTTTTACCTTGAAAGAACTGTAAAAAAAAAAAAAATAAT